CACCACCTGCTACCCTCCACCACCTGCTACCCTCCATCACCTGCTATTCTCCATCACCTGCTATCCTCCACCACCTGCTCCCCTCCACCACCTGCAATCCTTCACCACCTGCTATCCTCCACCACCTGCTACCAGTCATAGCCAGGTGATGGAGGAGGAAGGTAGCCAGGCTCCACCGGAGACAAGCTCTCCTGCTCTGTGGCCTCACGGGGTCGGGGGTATGGGCTTTGCATAATAAATGCACCATCACAGCTCTGGGTTGCTGATCCTGGCCAAAAAGGGCTTCCCAGGTGTTTGCTCCTTCTCATGCCCACAGGCTGGATCCCCAACCAGCAACATCACCCTGTCCCAAAGAGTCATAACATTGTGTTCTGCTCTGGCACCTGTATGGGCTGGCTCATCAAACCAGGAAGAGTATTGTTTCTCCAACTCTCTTTGGCAAATTGGTCCCTGGGGAGTTCTGTGGAAGCCTGTCTGGTGGCCTCTGAGGGTTTTGCTTGTACCTGCTCAGTGTTCAGGAAAACATCAGGTGCAAAGAGACGACACTGTTGGCAGGGTGACAGTATCTGCCCAGCCTCTCTGAAAGCTGCCTCCCGGAAGGTCCGGCTGTAGACAGGCTTTTCCTCACACTCCCAAACCTCAGAGGGAAGGAAGACAAGCTGCCGTCCCTCTTCTTCACTGCTCCTTCCAACGCCTGACTGCTGAGGTCCGAGTCACACAGCCATCTCCCCACCCTGCCTTGCTGCCACCACATGCTGCCTACACCCAGAGCTTAGAATGACTTGTTCAACTCTCAGTCCTAAGCTTTGCCTACACTCAACTCTTCAACCTCGGTACAGACAGTCCGATCAATTCTGACTCCTCCATGCCATTCTCCTCCATCCAAACTAACCCCTTATGTGGGGAGGAGGCACAGGCAGACTCTTTTATTGTCCTGACTCGCTTTGAATTCCTGTGCTCATATAATCCCTGTCTTCTGAGTAGATGGCTCTACACAAGACACCATCTGGCTCAAACTGGTTGTTTTTAAGCAGTTTTATTGAGATACAGCTGACATGCAAGCAAGCATGCATGTGATACACATACATACAGGTAAACACACATAAACATACAATATAAAAAGTTTTGAAAACTGCACTTACTATAAGGGAAATTTTTGGTAAATTGTAGGATATGAATGTCACAAAAAGTGAATCACCATGGTCAAGGGCAGAACACACCCTCACCACTAAGCTGTTTTCTCCCACTACAGATTGCTTTTATATGTTCTAGAACTTCATCTGGAGTATGCTTTCCTGTCTGGCTTCTTGCACTCAGTCAATGATTCAGTCACACTGTTAAATGAACACTTTAGCAGTTTGTATCTTTTTAAAAGTCAAACTGATTTTAAGATTTTTTTGTTTTGATTTTGGGTTTGTTATTGTTTGTGAGACAGGGTCTCACCATGTAGTCCTGGCTGACCAGAAGCTTGTTATATAAACCAGACTGACCTTGAACTCAACAGAAATCCACCGACCTCTGCCTCTTGAGGCTGGGATTAAAGGTGTGTGTCACTACTCCTAGCCTGATTTTAAGTTGTACTGAGATATAATCCATATAATACTTATCCATTTAAGGTATATAATTAAATACATTTTAGTGTATATGAAGGGTTTTACCAACATAACTGCAACTTAACTTTTAGAATGTTTCTAGTACCCACAGAAGAAACCCTATTAAGCAATCAGTATCCATTCCCACCTCCTCTGGCCCCAGGTGGCAACAGATCTGCATTTTGTCTCAAGGATCAGTCAGTTCTGGAGATTTGGTGTAACTAGGATCATACAGTACGTGGCTTTTGTGCCTGGATTTCTCCACTTGGCATCATGGCTTCAAGATGCATCTATACTGCAGTCTGTATGTGGCATGGTCACTCTTGAATACCTCTGTCTCTATGTGCACACCTACTAACTCCCAAGGAGAACAGTGTCACTGCACTATAGCCATGATTAATAGTGTAAGTGATTGTTTACAGTGCAGAGGCAGTGCATGGTTGTTACGTAACTGTTTGGTCCCATAAATAGAAGCATCCATATGTGCTCACTGCAAACACAGCCTGTATCATAGGTCCAGGTATGGATCTAGAGCACTCCTCAAAGGTCCCCGGCCATGGGAATTATGGGAGGAGAGTGAGTCACTACAGGAAGAAAGTAGAATGCCCTCTGTGCAGGGGGCAGGGGGAGACATTAAAACCCTACCTCTTCCTGTCTCTTCTTCAGTTCCTAGCCATGATGATGTGACAGGCCTCTTCCACCACGTGGTCCTAGTTGTGCTGTGCCACTAAGGCTCAAAGAAGCAGGGCAAGTGACCATTAATACAACCTCCACGCTCATGAGCCAAGACAAATCTTTTTCTTTAAAAATAAAAAAAAAACTAACCTGATTTTATTATTGTATGAGTGTTTTTGCCTGCATGTATGTATATATACATTGTGCATGCCTGCTGCCCAAGGAGATCAGAAAGGGGCATCAAATCCCGGGGGACTGAAGTTGCAGACTGTTGTGAGTAGCCATGTGGGTGCTTGAAATTGAACCAAGGTCTTCCACAAGACGAGTGCTCTTAACTGTTGAGTCACCTCTCAAGCTCTCAAACCTTTTTCTTTCCTATGCTGATTACGTCAGGTGTTTTATATAGTAGCAACACCAAGTTAACTAATACAAGAAGCCTATTAGCATATTGGAGACACTAAAAATACACATTTACCAAGAAGGTAACTTTGAATTGATTAAACTTGTTCTTTGGCAATTTTATGTTTGTATATAATGTATTGTAATTACTCTAACCTAATTATTTTTTTAATTTACATTTACTTATTTTGTAGAGGGGTTGTGTGCACATGTGGCGATCACAGAACAACTCGCAGAAGTCAGTTCTCGCCTTTTATTATGTGGTCCCAGGACTTGAACTCAGGAAGGCTTAGGGCAACTACTTTTACCTATTACCACCCTCCCCGCAAGCTTCTCTTATCTCTCCCAATGAAACTTTTCTTCAAAATATTTTTTATTCAAAATAGGTTCAAAGGAGGAGAAGAATAAAATAAGCATAAAAATGTCTGAAAAGTCCTAAGCTGGTTTATAAATATACCTATACAGCATAAATGAAATGCTCCCATCTAAGCTGACAATTCTCCCTCCAGGAGCCAAAGACCATCTAACAAAGCCCCAGCAGCAGGTATGAGAAGCCTTCTTGTGAGCTGTTGGTCAGAGCTGTCCAAGAGATTCTCAAATACCTATTGCCTTTGTTTGTCTCCCTACGCTGGAGGTGGAAGATAAGTCCTAATGCTGAAGGTGCCATACACTTCAGAAACAGGCCTGGAAACTTGAGTGGAACTGACCTGAAAGGCTCATTCCTGAAGACTAGTTTTCGTGATACCGAAAGGCGCCATGCAAGCTTCCAGAGGAGGAGGCAACCTGTAGTCCTACCCATACATGACACCTATGAGCACAACAATGACCAGCATCACACGAGAACCCTACAGGTACAGTATTGGCACATGTATGTCAGTGGTAACAACAGCTCTCTACTTGGGAAATCATGCCAGGTACTGGAAATCAAGTCAACTGCCCAGGGCAAGAGGAGTGAAACATCTTGGAGAAGCCACCACTTTATTAAGCCAGCGAAGTCCCTAACTACATGCTAAGCATTTGTCCTTATACCCACAGGTAAGTGCAGTCCTCACTTCTTATCAAGGAAACTTCTCATTGCAACAGAAAGAAACCATCACGTAAAACCACAACTGATCAAAAGTTATGGCATCCCATCCCAACAGAGACCTCTACAGCAATACTCCTGCACCTCAGGGACCATTTTAGAAGAGGGGGCTGGAAAGATTTGAAGAGCCAGAGGAATAGGGAGTTTGTTGTGAGGCTGTGTGTCCTGGGAGTGTAAGAAGCTACACCCATAAGATCTCACCAACATGACTGCTGGAATGTGAGCTGAACAAGGAAAATAACAAGAGACTTACTAAAGTGGGTTTGGTGGTGTTGGGGGAGCCCAGGAGGCCTCAACTTTATACAAAAAGTGACAGGCAACTAAGGAAAGTTGAGAGTGGGTAAAACAGTCTTTCCCAGGGAAGAAAACAACAATTGGTTAGCCAATACCAAATAGCCCTGAAAATATTTATGCAAGTAATATTATATAGACTGAATAGTTTATATGTTTGTACTTAGAAATATGTATGTATGTATGTATATGTGTGTGTTATGTATATATGTGTGGGTGTGCAACAATTTTAAAAAGAGGTCATAAATTTGAAAGAGGACAGGGAGGGGTATATGGTAGGATTTATAGGGAGCAAAGGGAAGTGAGAAATGATATAATTATATTATAACCTCAGAAAATAAATATTTTTAAAATAGGTTAAATCCAAGGTAGAGGACATATAACTTTGGAAGGTTAACCATGCCTGCTTCCCAGGCTCTTGTCATAGATCTTTATAAGTCAAGTTCATACCATAAAACACAATGAAATGTACTCTTCAGGACCGGAGCTCAAGCCCAGAGATACAGAACTAACCAGATGAGGTCTACAATTCACTTCAAAATATAAGCACTGTGTGTTTTCCTTGTGCCTATTTAGTCAGATTTGAATTTACACATTTACTGTGTGTGGGACACACACATGGAGGTCAGAAGATAATTTACAAGAATAGGTTTTCTCCTTCTACTGTGTGGATTCTGGGGTTAAGCTCAAGTGTGGCAGCAAACCATCCCCACCAGCATCGTACTAGAGTTTGAAAGTGGAGAGTTTTAGAGGCATTTATATACAGCACAATGAAGACCATGTCACATTTATGTCATTCAGTTTGTTACATTTAAAGAAATATCATGAGCAAATCTCAAAGTAAACCCTTATATTTTGGGTCAATTTACTTTAAACTGGGTGCCAAGACAATTCAATGGGAGAAATAACAGTCTTCTCAACAAAATGAGCCTGGCTTACTAGATACTCACACACAAAAGTAGTTTTCTGGGCTTGGTGATGTGTGCCTTTAATCCCAGCCCTCTCGAGACAGAGGCAGGTGGATCTCCATTAGTTCAAGGTCAGTCTGGTCTACAGAGCAGAGCTACCTAGTGAGAACTATCTGGAAAGAATAAAAGGACCAGAGGAACTAGGGCATAACCAGAGCGTCCACTTAGTCCGGTGGTTTGAATCACAATTACAATGGCCCCACAGGCACACACATTTGAATGTTTGGTTCCCAGCTGGTGGACTGTTTGTTAAAGTCAGGAGGTGAGGCCTTGTTGGAGGAGGTGAGGTCTTGTTGGAGGAGGTGGGTCACTGGGAGGGCCTCTGAGGTTTCAAAAGCCCACACCAGAGCAAATTTCAATCTCTCTGCCTCCATCCTGAAGGAAGCATATAAGCTCTCAACTACTGCTCCAATGTCTTGACTGCTTGCCTGCTGCCATGCTCTCCACCACAACGATCATGGACTCACCCTCTGGAACTTAAGCAATATCCCAATTAAATGCTTTCTTTATAAGTTACCATGGTTATGGTGTCTCTTCACAGCAACAGAAAAGTAACTATGACACCTAACATGCACAAAACCCTTGGTTCAATCCTCAGCACCATAAAGATAGATAGATAGATAGATAGATAGATAGATAGATAGATAGATAGA